GGGCCCGGGAAGCACCCTCGGAGCTCGGGCACCGCGGGCTGCGCGCCGCGGCGGAGGCTGGGGTTGCGGCCACGACCAGGCGCCGCCGCCGCGTCTCCTGGCCCCGCCGCCGGTCGCCGCGCTCCGCGTTCCCTCCCGCAGCAGCGCCGGCCGACCTTCCCGGGCGCGAGCCGCCAGCGGCGGGCCCGCCTCCTCGCACCTCCGCCCGCGGGCCAATGGGGAGCCCGGCGCGACGGCGGCCGGGCGGGCGGGGCGGGGCCTGCGCCGGGGACGCCCGTCCTCTCCGCGGGGCGGGGCGGGGAGCGGCCGGGGCCGGCGGGGAGGCGAAGGCCGCGGGCGGCTCCGGCCAGTCCGCTCCTGCGGGACGCGCCGCCCGGGACGGCCACCGCAGGCCCCACGCTGCCCGCCGGGTCGGGAGGGGTGGGAAGGGGTGCTCGGCGGGGCCTTCCTGCCGCCGGTCCGCCGACCGGAGCGCGGGCCCACCCGGCTCGCCGTCCTCCCGCAGTCGCCCCGGCCGGGGAGCTGTCCGCGCCGGTGGTTCTGAACCAGGCGCTCCGGAGACGCTCCAGGTAGGCGCGAGTCCCAGGGTCACCTCTCCCGCGGCTGCCGCTGCCTCCCGTGGGTCACCCCCGTGGCGCCGCGCGCTCCTATAAATACCGGGGCTGTCGGGCTTCCCGGAGTCTTGCCCTAATTAGGAGCCGGCCTCGCCGGTCCATCTGTGGGGTCAGATACTAACTCAGGCTCGCTTCAATATCCCCGTAATTTAAGGGTGGCAGCAACGCAATTAGGTATATAGCCATTTCTCATCATCTTTGACGTTTGACATCTCTTGAACTCAAAATACTCACTACTACCAAATACCGATTACTCTAACCCATCTATTGAACGTCTCCTTCACACACATACTTGACACACTCATCTATTCAAATACTGCACGGTCACCCGGGCTCCAGTGCTTTGATAAACAATAGAACAGAAATGTTCCCTCCGCCCCTCTTTCTTGGACAGGAACGTGTGGTGGTCATACTGTTGATGGCCCAAACATTAATCAGACTTTGTCTTCGTGCTCCCTCCCCTTCCCTCAAATAGTGCAGTAAGTCACGTTAATGGTAATTGGGTCATAAAGTCACTTTCACTCTGAAATAAAATAAATCCGTGGAGATGTGAAGGGCTTACAAATCCTCCTGGGCATTAACTAAATAATAATTACACAAAAGGGAGACGCATGTTGCTATTTCTACACATGCCTGAAAGGATGAAAGACTATTCTGCCACCAAGTGAGGTCAACAATGCAGCCAAGTTGAGGGTCCCTGGGCTAGAAGTTTGAGGAAAGGAGGTGAAGAACAGTCAAAGTGGTTATCTAGGAGAGTAAGACTTAGATGGCTAGAGAAATATATCTGGACTTATAGTCGAGAATTTAATGTGAAAGGGGCCAACACGGTTGTGTTTGTCTCCACTTATATTCAGTCGCAAGGGGTGGACACAGTGTCAACAGAAGGCTGGGTTTTACCAAAGTGGGGTTTTGACAGGAATATATATGGTAGAGCAGGAGAGTACCAGAGAGTGACCATAGTGATGGGTGTGGAATTTATGCCGGCAAATGAGGCAGGTGAGAAATTGGGGGAAGGATTAAAGAACATTAAGAATGAGGTGGGTAAATAGCTTCTAATCACAGGAGTTTTTTTTCTCTTCTGGTGATAATTAACATTTCCATGAATTAATTTCAGGCAGCTAGACCCCTGCAAAGCAACACAAACAACTCTGATTAGTGTTTCAACCTACCTTTTTTCCCAACCAGTGAACATCATGAGATGTTTAGAACAAAGAAAAAAATACACATTGGAAGTGAAATCTTATTTTTAGATAATGGGATACTTTAGTGAGTCAGTGTTGTTTCCAAAGCCCTTTCCACAGTTTTGTGCATTTGTGTCTCTTCCCTGCTCCCTTGGCAACATCTTCCCTCTTTAAGCATACCCACCCCCACTCCACTAGTTCTCCAACAACAAAGAAGGGATCTGATAGAGTACCATCCTTGAAGCACATTTGCCTTTAAAAGGGAAACTGCAGGCCGAGGTTGGTGTTTAACACAAATGAAAGGATTGCTTAGTGGTAGAAGTTCATGTATTTTTAAAAAAGAGGGAACATAGCTCCCTGCTGGCTTGGAGACTTTCTCAACATTCCTAAATTCCGAAATCCGAGGCTGGTATTGATTCAATTTAAAGTATACACTGGATTTTCAGAGTCATATTCTATCTAAATTATAGAACTGATGTGTTGTTGTAGATTTAGTATAAAGCCACATCTGTCCTTCAGGTTTCTTACTATGAGAATGACTAAAGAATGGTTCTTACCAAATTGTCCATGAAAGTCCAGTCACTTACAAAACTCACATAGCAAACCTGGAGCCATCACCCAGGTTGAAGGCCGTCTGCATGATCACTGTAGGATAAAGAAGAGAGCCAGGAGGACAAACACTCGTATCAGGACTTTCATCAAATGTAGCACAACCGCCAACCATTTTTCTGTCTTTATTACTGAGAAACAATTCAGTAATTGTTTTTTATAAGCATTAATGTTGGGATTAAAAATGCCCGTGGTCACAATGAGCAACTTAATTATCAGAAAAACATTGCTCTCGAATGTCTGTTCTAATTGCTAAAGCAGCACTACTAACAGAGGTTAGAAAAATTTCCACAAGGCTGAAACAAAAAGAATTTCCTACTTCGACACAGATAGATATGTCTTCCTCATAACATTCCAAGTAGTGGATATTTTTCAGAAACAACATTTGGTTCTTTACTGAAGGCTAAAAATAATGGAGAGCCATAAAAATAATAGTCAGATTTTATGTATGCCTTCTGTATGCTAGGAACTGTGCTCAGTGGTTTATGTGGAGTATCCAATTTAATCCTTGCAACAAACCCTGCGAGGTTAGTATTTTCGTGATCCGTTTTGTAGATGACAACACATAAGCTTAGAGAGGTGAAGTCAATTTTCCAATGTCACATAGCTCGTAGACAATGGAGTCAGAACTCAGGCAGTCTCATTCCAGACTGGGCTTTTCATGTTGGCTGCCCACAGTTTTTTGACTGTCATCTGCTCCCCGACCTATTCCCATTTAAGGACAACCAGTAATATCTAAATCACAGGGAATGCACATGAGGGGTGTCCACTGGCTTCCATTATTTAGACCCTGGTGGAAGGGCTGACTCATATGTTCTGCTTCAGCTCTTTCCTCTGCCCAGGAATGTATCCATCCTTCAAGCCATTAGTATTAATGAGATAGTGTAGGAGGTGGACTTTGGCTACCTACCTGAGCCTAGAGCCAAAGCTTAAGTCTGCTTACAATACTGAACGAAAGCTTTGAATTGATGAACACCCAGCTTCAATAGAAGGTGGTCCTGCTCTGTTTAATAGGATGTGGCAACCATTGGAGCAGGGGTCCACCAAAACCAATCAAGGCCAGCACAAACTGGTTACTGCCAAGATGAAGCCAAAAGTTGACCTCTCACAGACATTTTGCCTCGTTTAAAGCTAAAAATCACGCCCAAGGGTGGAGATTTAACATGCTAATGAGACATGTGATGTATGAAGAAGCATGATCACCACATGGGCAGCTGCCAACAAAACTCCGCCTCTACATGCTATGATTTCAATGCTGACATCAAATTTTCTCTGTCCCTTTCTCTGCAAGGTTTGTGCCTTGGCTGGGGGTACCCTGTGTCCCTGTTTTGCCAGAAAATTGAGGGTAGTTACAGTATTATAGTCTGAGTCTTATTTGATTGAACTAGCAATTATTAATAATAAGTCATTTACATGCTGCAGTAAAGTTCCCTGTTTAACAGTTAATTCCCTTAATTCCTTATCCAGGAAGGTACCAAAGAGATGAGGGCTGTCCCTAAATCCCTGGGGAAGTACGATCTAAGTGTATTGGGTAGCCTATTTTCTGGCAAAATGGGGACACAGGGTACCCCCAGCCAAGGCACAAACCTCCAGTTAAGAGGTCCAGTACCTGGGGTTTGTTCTGACACCAGGAGCCCACACCCGGGCCCCAGATCATCACAGAGCGACCCCCTCCCTAGCCACCCCAGACACTAAAAAGCAACTGCGAGGACTGGGGGCATGTCAGACTTCTGCCATATGTGGATACCAAACTACAGCTTAATAGCCAAATCTCTGTGTGAAGCCCTAAAGGGAGAAGAAAGAGCCTCTGTGTTGGACCAGAAAATACCAGGAGGTATTTGATACATTAAAAACTGAATTGAGACATGCACTTGCCCTGGGACTCCCCACTTTAGAAAAGCCACTTGCTCTTTATGTACATGAAAAATTGGGAATTCCATTGGACATTTGAACCCAAAAGGTGAGCCCAGTATCCAGACCAGTGGCCTACTTCTCTAAGCAGCTGGACTCTGTGGCCCAAGCGTGGCCCAGTTGCTTATAAGCAGCAGCCACTACTGTTTCCTAGTTAATGAGGCCTCCAAGTTGACTCTAGGACAACACACTGATGTGCAAACACCCCACCAAGTCCAGGAAGTGCTAGAAGTTAAGGGACATCCCTGGCTTACTGTGGGAAGATTGACCAAATACCAAGCACTCCCATTAGATACCCC